TGAAAAAAGTGGAGGGAAGGGAAAACTAGATTATTATGGAGTTGTATGTATTCTCCTTCTCCTTCTCCTTCTCCTTTTGCTTCTTCTTGTTCTTCGTCATCATCATCATCCTTCTTTCATTTTCTTTTTCTCAGAAAACTAGATGCATATTTAATTTTAAAGATTCCACAATATATGAAACAAATGAGCTTAGGTATGGCATATGAGATAAATTACCGAAGGTGCATATGATAATTTAATATTCGAATTTTAACTAACCCGGACACTTCTTAGCTAACTAAAAAGGAAAATTCTGAATACATATATTCTTTGTCAAGTAATTTATATATAGTTGGCTCATCTCTTTTTATCTGTTGTTGTCCAGATGATGACATTATCGATCTTATATTTCTTTGCTGGCCGTAACAAATCCAAAATAGAATATTTCCAAATTAAGAGCAGGCCTCTATCAAAAGAGAAAATCAAGGGCAGGATCGATTCTCTTCTTGTTGTAGCCGTGCTTGTCGCTGGTGTAACATTTTCTGGTATACTCCAACTTCCTCGTAGTGCAGACCTGCATGAAAGTGGACCTTCTAACACCACCACCACCAATAGTACCCAAAACCAGGGCATATCAGCACAAAATGAAGGCATTCTAAGGAATGTTTATATTTATTTTGACATGGTAGCCTTGAATGCCGCGGTGATGGCATCAATAATCCTTTGTTGGGCTCAACTATTTGATAACGAAGTAGCACCACATGCAGTTTGGATGGCATCAATATTAACAGGTGGTGCTATCTACACGATGTGTTTGGCATTCTTCTTTGCCGTTGCTATTGATGGAGGCAACAGTTTTGCCTTCTTCGGTGTCATCCTTGTCGTCGGAGGAGCGCTTTTTCTTGTCCAAACCATGTTTTCTGCTCCATGGATTATACCGCTGAATGCCGACCAAATCATTGAAAAAACTGTTTCACCATACCTCTGTTTCATGTTCTTCATCAATTATTGTGCTTTTGTCTCATGTTCTTCATCAATTATTGTGTTTTTGAGTGGCTGCTTTTTAAATTTAGCAAACGCAGTAAGAACAAAGGGGAGCTACAATAAACAAAGTCTTCTTGATATGATGCTCTTCGGATCAATGGATTTTGTGTTTAATCATCGTAATAATTTCATTTTGTTGATTGTAACAATTATTTGATAGTTTTATATTTGTAATAATTTGAGTGTATTAAATTCTATGGAAATATACGGCTCTTGGGTGAGCTTTTTCTTTGATGAATAAAATAAAAGAAATGTTTTCTCCTAATATAATTAATTTTTTATCAAAATTAATGTGATACTATGTTAGCATTCCATGCAAAAATTAACAAACAATTCCTGTCCATGAGATGCACTTCCTTGATTTCAAGTTTAAAGAACAAAAAAAAAAATGTTTTCTTTATAATAAAAGATAAAAACTAAACAATAAACAAATACTTTATAAGCAAGGAAGGGTCGGAAACTTCCACCGTTGCTGAATAAATTTTTAGCCTATACCTAGATCTTCCAATTTGTTAAGTTCTCTTTGCTTGAGCCGGTAGAAATTAAAGATTT